CCGCCCAGGATGTCGTCGTCGTCGTCGTCCGGCTTCACCGGTTTCTTCGGAGGCTTCCTCTTCTGGTCGGTCTCGTTCTCGATCGCGTTGACGCTGGCGCTCGTCAGGCTGGGCTTCTTCTTGTTGGCTCCTGCCGTCACCTTCTTCGTCGGGAATTTTCCCGGCTTCGCGTACGCCAGCACTTTGTTCGACGCCTCGGTGACGATCTCCAGGGATTCGTTGGCTGTCGGCTCGGTGACGGAGAACTCGTCGGAGTCTTCTTCCGTGGTGTCCTCGTCGTCGACCGCCTGCGACTGAGTGTCCTCGTCCTCGTCGCTGTCTTGGCCGACGCTCTGCTGGAGCGACGGCACCTCGTGGGTCTCCAACGGCGCGATCGACGTGGGCTTCGTCAGGATCGGGATCGTGAACTGCAGGAGAGGGGCGGACGTGGTGACCTTCGGCCTCTTCGTGGTGGTCTCGTCCTCTCCGGTGATGATGTCCAGCAACGCTCCGAACCCGAGGACGTCGTCGTCGTCCTCGTCGTCCTCCTCCTCGGCCGAGGAATTCGGGACGGAGTTGGTCAACGGCGAATTCGCGTCGGCGCTGTCGGCGTCCTCAGCGTCCTCGTCCTCGTCGTCGTCCTCGTCGGAGCCTAGACCGAAGAAGTCGTCGTCGTCGTCCTCTGCCTCCGCGACTTCTGTGTCGACGATTGGCAGCGGCTCCGCTGGACGCAGTTTCAGGCCATCGGGACCGAATCTGAAAGAGAAGTCGATTCGATTGCTAATATTCTCTTAATGTTGATATTGGTCAACCTTCGTACTGTCTCGATATCGAAAGTCGGATCGTTACGAATTCAAATGGGCTCTTCACATTATAGAATAAATTTAACCGACTTAACACCAGAACTACCGATTTAATACGACTGATACGTAATCTCGATTTCTGGCTTTCGGGAGAGAGCAGGAATTTTATCCCAACGCTTCGCCAGCATTGCAGCTGGCTTCATCAGGGAGCTAAAGGCACACTGATACCGATTGAAATTAGTTCGCTAATCACCTGAAGCAGCTGACACGCAGACTGGCTTCCAGTTCCGTCGCGGATTGCAGCTCCAATCCGAGGCAAGCCTTGAAGTGGTTCTTCGCCTCGCGTTTAATGGAGTAAATCCTGCCGCAGAATTTGGTGAATCCTCCTGGCAACGGGACGCACACCGGCTTGGGACTCTTCCCTGAAGAGGACGGGATAGGAATCGATTAGACCGAGCCTGTTATTAGCCGGGCAAACTTGACCTTTTGGAAAACACATTCCTCCGGACGAATTAATTTATGCGGAACTTTCACCTTGACGCGCGCACCAGCCCGGCGACGCCTATGCGTTATGAATATTTTCGCGCTGACGCGCCGCGTATCATCCGGGCTGTACATTTCGAAGAGAAATTGATTTTTTCCAACGCGGCACACCTCCAGCCGACGGAACGTGTTCGCCTTTGCGTCACACGTGCTCGGTGAAAGTCGGAAAGTCGAACTTTCCGAGCGCGATGGGGGAGTCAGAACCGTTTGATAATTCTCGCTTTACCTACCGGAAGCCTGTTAACCCTTTGCACTCGAGAGGTGATTTTCACTCACCACTTGATGTCGTACAGTGAAACTATGAAATTTGAAATTTAACATTATATTCCCTGTAATGCATCGTTTCGAGAAATATTCAAATAAAATCGCTTTGTCCCTCAATGTACGCGTGATTTCTCGTCGACTGAGTTTCACAAAATAACGATTTTATGTCATCGGAAAACGTTAAAATATTTCTAGTGAAAAACTTCCGAGTGCAGAGGGTAAATTTTGCTTATTAATAAGCTCATACAAAGTGGTAGACTTCGAAACCACCTGCAATTTGTGTTCTAATAATCTATTAGAATCTCAGCTATTAGTCATTGATCGTTGAAAGAGTATCGAGTGAAAATTTTAGACAGAATTCTATAGCACAGAACAGAATCTATAACAGAACGTCTATAGAACAGAATTCTACAGACAATCGAAAGAATATTTACCATTGACGATGGTGCTGGTCAAAATGTTCTCGCCGAAGCTGAGCTGAACCGCCAAGTTGTCGTCCTGCAGATACTGCAGAGACGCGCATCCTGGAAACGAAAGAGCGCGTCCGATCTGTTTACTCCAGATTCGACAGGTGAAGGAGCAAGTGTAATGCAACGCGGACGCATCCTTCGAGTTGTTATGCTTTCTAACAGCCGCGTTCTATTACCGGGAATTCAGTCGCAGATTAATTACCTGGCCCCTGTAGTTGCACTAACGGTATATGGAAGTCCCGGCAGCAGTTGCAGATGTTCTCGTTGCAGGTGCAATATCTGTTGACATTATCAGTCGCCTGTTTCAAGGACAGCGTCGATATACCAATGTTACCCTGCCTGGAACCATTGCCGCTGCTAATGGATCGAGCTTCGGTCTGGTTACGTTCTGTAACAAACCTTGGATTCACTACTCTACGTATTTACCGTCCCGCAGTCAAACTATCAGCTGTAATCAGAATGGAGAACATTTTGCTTGAACGTGTCGCTAATTAACCCTTTGCGGACGAGAATTTTTTAAACTTTTCCGAAGCTTCTTCATGAAAAGACCGAGTTACCTATCGAAGTTAAATATCAGAAAAATCTCTCGTTATCTGAATAAATAAATTATATATCATATAATATTATTATATAATTATGTATTGCAGCTGTCGAATTTCAATATCAATGCTCGAAGTCTCCATTGTGACGGCGTTCGACCGCAAGGGGTTAAGCACTGTTAATTATACTTGGATATTCCTTCAATGTAATTTGACTTTGAGGCGAATAAGAAGATTGACGTTAAAAATAAACTGAATAGATTTAACGGGATTGAAATTTCAGAGAAATAGAAAGGCTCGCATTCAAGCAAAATGAATTCTATTAGTTGTATATGTTATTAATGTTGTATCATTACCGATCACTCTGCCGTAAGCAGCGAACGCGATCAGCAGCAGAATCAGGAACAACTCGAAGACCACCGAGAGCCGCATTTTCTTGTTACCTCTGCAAAGGAATGATTAAGAATGCGATGAACGTCTGCCAGGACTGCTCTACATGCGGATACCCGCTCGGCCGTCATTCCCATCATCGCTGCGCACGTTAAAGCCGTGCAGTCATGCAATCAACGCCCGTATTTCCATGCTATCGCGATTTCGGTGTTGTTCAAAGGAACCGGCGACGCGATAGGGTCGCATTGGTATTCACCAACGCGTCGCGATCGAGCCGATATGCACCATTTGTCTCCGCGAGAGCCTCGCCAGACACGTTTCCTTCGATTCCGAATGGATTTCACCGGGAAACTGAATAAACTTTAAAGACTCGATTCAATCCTCTTCAAAATCACTATGCAAACACCATTGGTTTATGAATATCAACCCTTAACGGAGGTATTTCGAGTTGATCTACATGGCACTGGACTCGGTAAGAAAAATATGGCGCCATTGCTTCGTTAAGTGTTAATATTAACCTTTTGCACTCGAAGGTATTTTTATCTATTACCAGCAAGTCGAAGAAATGTCAAATTCAATTTTAAACAGCTCTGCGCCAGAGCCCTCCAGTGCAAAAGGTTAATCGAGTGATTTCCCTGAAATAGAGGATCGAATGGACAGAAACAAGATCTAATATAATTATCACAATACGATAATAAATAGAACGTAAGAATAATGCATCTACTTGAACCGTTTCCTCTTCAATCCCGTATGTTCATTACCAATTGAGCCGTTTATTTTGAAAGTGGCTTAAGTCCATTTCCAAAGAAATCAAGTTAACCGTTACAATAGTTACTATTCTACGCAATCTCTTTATTTTTAACAGTCTTCCAATCTCTTTAAGTAGACTTAAGCTACTTTCAAAATAAACGGTACAATTACAAGTAGATCAAGTTCATTTTTCAAAGAAATCAAGTTAATCCATACAATAGCTACAATTCTACACATTCGTTTTACTCTTCAATAGTCTTCCAATATCTTTAAGCAGACTTAAACCACTTTCAAACTAAACTATTCGATTATAAGTCCCACTACAGCTTCGATATTCGAGACTCCACGGTTCCTACTTTCGAGCGCGCGCAGATTCGTCGGAGGGATCACCGGCGAGCGGAGAGGAGCCCGAGCAACGTACAAATTGCTTCGGACAACAGGAAAGCTAACGGAACAGCGCGGGACACGTCGGATGCGTCGGAACAATACGGCCACGTGTCACGCTCGTTAACGACAACGCGGCAGTCCGATCATCTGGTAGCAATCATTTCGAGCAGGGAGCAACGATTCCTGGATCCGCGCGAGGACTCGCGGCGGCTCGCGCGGAGTCTGGAAGCTCTCGGCAGTCGGCGACCGGTTGACCCAAATCCCGGTCACGGTCAAAGACGAGTCGCGGCGGCGGCGGCGGCGCTCAGCCGGTGCTTTGGCGACTCGAACGGAGAAGCACGTCCACGACCGCACATGCTTCCCATTGTTTTCATGGTCGCGATCGTACGATCACGTCACGGGGAACGGTACGCCACGGTATGCTCGCTGGGATGCGCCGCTTCCGGTCGCGAGATCGCGCCGGCGATCGTTTTCGCGGAGAACGAGAGGTTGAACCGCGTTGACCTCTTACTCGACAGGTCTTTGTTGGGGATAGACAGTCTTTGAGGCTAACTTAACGAGACGTGGTAATTAGGGAACGTATCAACGGGTCATAGGAAGATGATTATATGATTATTTTATATGATTATATGAGACTTTGTAATGTGTCGAGTCAAGAGGTGACAGTCATCTCTGGAGTGCAAAAAACTCTCGAGGAGAGTGTAACGTCCAGTCGAAACAGAAGATTGATGTCTAATAGGAATGTTTATGATGAAATAGTAGTGTACCGTGGGAACTATGATAATTATTTCTAATAGCATATATCTCTGCTATAGAATTCTCGCAGCAACGTGATACTGTCGAGAGGAAGATTCGAAGGTTCTCGAATTCGACGGATCCGAGTGTCACTCGTTCATGAATCGTTAACATTCCTAAGCATAGACCCAGAATCAGGAAATCCGGTCTGCCAATGGATCAACGATAAAGTATCTCGATCGATCGCAGTTGTGAAAGGAATCACGCGACAAGGGATTAAGCGAGGCGAGTCGATCCGGTCCGATTATTTCGAGCGGAAGCGAACAGGTGGAAGGTCGGGAATGCCGGGAAGCCGGCGTTAAGATCGCGCCGGCGGTCGGAACGGAAACGTCAACGGCGAGGAGAGATCCCGAACGGCGTTAGAGAAACAGATACTCACCCGTGCGATGAGGAACGAAATCCAAGGTTAGAATGCCGATCGGAAGCCAGTCGATCCTTCGGAAAAGACGTCTCTCCTCGTCGCACCCTTCCGCTCTTTTTTCCGACTCTTCGTCTTACGGAGGCCAATGTCTAACTGAAGTTGCCGCCCAACTCCCCCCAAAGGTTTCTTTAAAAGTCGGTCAAGCCACCACCACCTGGCCTCGCTCGACGTTCCGATTATTAAGCATTCTAATACGCTCTAGGTAAATAAGAGGACGATTCCCCACCAGCGGAGGATCCGCCGCCGGCCCGGGAAGATTCCGGACGGGTACGCCGTCGTCCCGACGATGAAAGCCGCGCGGAAGCGGCGTCCTTTTCTTTCTTTGGCCCCCGGTTGGACCGGTACCGGGTCAAGTACGTCCGGACCGACTGGTACCGCTGTTGGTCCTCAATGAAATCTTTACTCTCCGGCTTCGCGGAGATGACTCACCGATGAAAATCATCAGAGGATAGGGTTCGAAGGGATCAGGGGGTTGACAGAGCGTTTAGGAACTGGATTTAGTTGGGTTGTTAATCAAGCGTGAAGCTGTTGGGCTGGAGGTTAACCCCTTAACGCAGTTTTGTTGAAAAACCGGCCAAAGGAATCAATTTTGATATACTGCGCTTTTGTTCCATGGAGAAAGGCTATATTTTATTCTTGAATAAGTATTATAGCTTGCAATCGCATGTAAATGATGAATATCGATAAAACGATTTTTTTCCTTTGCTTTCACATTGTTATTTTCACAGTTCGGCCTGTTTAGCGCGCTCGAATTAACTCGAGCGTGCAAAAGGGTTAATCTGTGTGTAACTTTGCAATGCTGAGAGAATCTTCGATAAAGTAATGCATTCTGTTTCCGTAATCATGGTATAATATTATATTCAGACGTTATTTATGTGAGTTATATATTGGATGTTTAACCTGAATGCCTTATGCCCCGTTTCCTGTAATTTCCGATAAAGAAACTGCTTGATTAGCCGAAGAAAACGAAGCTAGCGCAATTTTCCGCAAGCAATAATCTGTCGATGCATTAATTGTAATTACGTGTGCTGCTTAGCGAGTAGTTGTTAATTAGAATGTAGATCTTCGGCGCTTATTGGGTCGTTACAGGAAACTGGTCGAATTAAGGCGCTAACGCGGCGTCGGTCGGGACCGATCCTTCGATTAAACCGAGCCCGGGTAACAGCCATGGGTAAAAGTTAATTGCACACTGTTTATTATGCCCGTACATTGTAGCCGGTTTTCATAAGTTTATTTTTAACCGTAAAACAATAGCTGGCGCGCAAGTTGGCGCACGCCCCAACACACAAACCCCAATAGCCGCGGCGTCCTAATCATCAGTCCCACTTCGCGTCGAGCAATTTCTACCGCCATAAATTATAACGACTGTAGGTGTCCGCGCGGTGCATCCACAATGAGCGGAACGGAAATCCTTCATTCATCGGACGTGCAGCTCGCTTTTACGATACACGTTACAATTAACGCCTGGACATTTCACTGACCTTCAAACTGGTCGTTGGTCCCGTACGCGGCGATCGAACCAGCGCCGCTCGGATCACGAAATTCGACTATTCCCGTAACGGAAATTTAAGGCTACCGACAAATCGCTAAATAGTATACAAAATGATTTTCATTTGAAAAATAATTTTCTGCAAATCAATTCCGTTTCTATGTTTATAGAACGTTGGAATTGAAACGCAAAGAATCCATCGTCATTGTAGTTTTATCCACTAAACTATCATTCTAGTTTTTCCAAGAATACTCTTGAAAGGTTGAGTATAGAAACTATAGTATATCGGTTGGAGCAAAGAAGAAAGTGACTTCATCGGTTCGAAGTAGTAATTAACAGTACTCGATTCTTTCCTGTAATTTAAAGAGTTTTCAGCTTTAATGTACGCCGACGTGCGCGTGGATGATGTCTTCGACGATCATCAGTGTTCCCGCGGAAGGTTCATATCAGCGCAACAACTGATCGATGCGTCACTAATGACACGATCGTGTTTCGGCTGCGCCTCGCGGCGGCAAACATCCGTACGCGAGATAAGATCCCCGAGATCTCCAGGCGGAACGGTGTTTTGGTGGTTAAGGAGGGACCTTTCTCCGGTTAGTGGGTCGAAGAAAGTAGTGGTCAGAAGTGGTTTGCCTTGGTTAATACTTGTCCAACGGAATAGAGATTCCGTAACGGAATTCGAACGTCGAAGGGCCGAGCGGCGCCGGGCAATTATTGTCCTCCACACGATTGTTCCTCGTTGGCTCGAATGTATCGGATTGTATCATAAGCCCGCGGCGTTCCTTCTCTTCGGGATAAAACCTTTTTTACGACGCCATTGTGTTTATGTCGCGCGTAGGATGGATCGTAGCGGTTAGTGTCGAAGTCGCTTCGACAAAAACTCAATGGGAAATGAGAACCGTTTTCCATCGAAGGCATTGTTTCCGACGTAATTAACCCGTTGCACTACAGAGGCGCCTCTAAGTCACCAAATGATTTGACACAGCAAGACTAAACTTTGACATATAATAAACTTTGTATGCATCAATGTAAGCGTTGAAAGAAAATAGTTCTCTTCCTCGATGCATGTGAGATTTCTTAATTCAATCTAAGAAAACATCTGTATCTCGTTAGAAAATACTGAATATTTCCGGTGAAAAGCTTCTGGAGTGCAAAGGGTTAAGTCTGGAAATCTGTAGGTACACATGCACTTGACACGCTTTCGATTTCGCAACGGCGCTACCTTCGAGGTACTAAAGCATCTCTCGAGCAGAATGTTAGATTGCTCCGCTGGTTTCTGTCGTTTTATTAATTCTTCGATTATTATAATTAAGTATAGTAATATTAGTAATTATTACAGTGCGGTTAATAGGGAACTATTACCACTTATAATGGCAAATGATAAATGGCACCGTTCCAGTCCAATCTTCGATGTCCTTCCTTCGTTTCATCGAAAGCTCGATGCCATCATTCGAAATCGTTTAGCAGACCACACGAGCAGAGCGCGAAAGAAACTCACAAGACGAGGCAATGCGCGAAACTGTGGATTCAGCCGCAGGATTGCCCGCGGCGCGGGTAATTTGTTTACAGCGCCATTGAAACTGACGCGAGGAGAAGCGAAGCAAAGGAAAAACCAGGAGAAAAGTGATTGCCCCATCATCGTAAGAAGGTTTCTGGAGTATCCATCCGTGACCGCAACCGATTTTCTTTGTCTAACCGAGCATACGTTCCTTCCCCTTTCGTTCGACGTTTTCGTTTCACGCGTACGAGATCGACCTGGAAAAAGCGAAGGTACGACACGTCGGTCCAGCTCGCCGGGTCTCCCGAGCGGCGCGATGAAAATCTAATTGCCGGGGAAACGGGGAAACGCTCTCGTCCGGACGGCGCTGGTTAATCTCAGTCGAGCATCGATTTCCGGCGCGCGTATTACTGTTATTACGCGCCGTAAACGCGGCGTTCCTCGGGCACGGAACGCCTAACAAAGTAAAACACCGACGAAAAAGCCTATCCGCCGAGGCGTCCGCCTGAAAGCCCGCGCAACCGCTGAACGGCCGTTCTACGCGGACAAGATTGCCCCTCGCCGGTAATAACATACGGGGATTATGCTCTCGAGAAAGAAAACAAACCTGCTCGGTAGCACGGTTTACGATCTCATCGAACGTACTCACGCAAAAACAATGCTAATAACCATGTAAATAAAGCAAGGAAACGCACCGCAATTTTTCACGGTAATTACAGCTCGGTAATTACAAGACCGCCAGCCACACGACCACGCTGCGCGACTTTTAAGCAGCGACGCGTTTCGTTAACCGTCTCGCGAGACAGAAGTTTGTTACTCGCTAAAGAACAATCGTAGTCGCGTCGACTCGTCGAAAAGAGTCGGCCGGATGTCCCATTTTCT